TTATCAACTTCATATTCATCAGCATCTTGTTCATCATCACTGCCAGCAGCACTCCCGTCGATACTCTCACCTTCCTGTTCCTCCTCCCATTCCTCATCACTGTCCACTTCATAGTCCAATTGTTTCTGAAAATATTTTAAGGGTATGGGTGTTACTAACAGGCATTGTTATTGTTTATATATTGTATATTAGCTTTTACCCGCGGCTTCGCTCGCGTCACAAAAGGATAAAATGTAGCCTATGTGACATATAACAATACACACAGCGCCATCGATACCAATAATTTCGTTTTCCCTCTAGAATATCAATTTTTTCCGGTATAAAGAGTACCCTATTATTTAATCCAGACTTATAACTTTACGTCTGCAAAAATTCAAAGCAATCGGTTTAGTACAAACTCACTTTCCGATTTATAATGTTAGTAAGGATATATATAGGCATAGCCAAATATTCAATAACATGAAGCATTCTCAAACAGTCTCAGAATGCAATAGCATGAGCATGAAGTATGAGAAATAACATATTTGCATGTTGAGGGTGATATTACTGAAATAAATATTCATTCAACAGTACTATGTGTTCAAACAACAAAAACAAAAGTGCGTATTGGTTACCAATAACCACTTTTTATTGCCCAACATAATCTTATCTTATACTCTTATACTATTATATAAAGCGGAAGAGTTTGTTTTTTTGTTTGTTTGTTTGATCGCGCTAATCTCCGTAACTACAAGTATGATTTGAATAATTCTTTTTGTGTTGGATAGCGCATTTATCGAGGATGGCTATAGGCTATAAAACAGTACGCTACGATCAATTGGAGCTGAGCAGAGCGTGTGAAACCACACGGAAGTAGCTAGTTATTAATAATCTCACAAGTTATCTAGAAGAGAAGAAGTACCAACCTCATCTTGCCCAAAAGGTCTACGAGGTTTGACACATGTACTCGTTTTTCTCCAAGTGCCCCAATATGGTGGACGTCGATTCTCGTGGAAACTCAGCAACTTGGGTCTCAATTTCTCCCGTTGCGCTGGCTCGCAAGTAAGGATCTCACCAGCATCATCTGGCATTGGTAATTCATCCTCTGAAAAATAAAGTTTTTTTTTTATAAATACGGAGTTTGTACTGTGTGTTGACATGGAACTTAGTGGCATAGCATTACTGGGACTGTTTTGTACACACAAAGAAATGGACATTGAAGAAATACTTGCTAAATTAGTCAATGTTTTTATAAAAGACAAATGATTAATTAGTCTTGACCACTAGCTAGCAAAATTTATTTTCACACACAGCAGCTACTTTATTTTCTAAGTGACTGCACGGTTGGTGCGGTGGCTGGGCAACCGGCTGCCGTGCAACGTGTCGCGGGTTCGATTCCCGCACGGGACAACACTTTGTGCGATCCATAAATTGTTGTTTCGGGTCTGGGTGTCATGTGTATGTGAACTTGTATGTTTGTAAACGCACCCACGACACAGGAGATAATCCTAGTGTGAGGCAACATATAAAAAAAAAAAAAAAAGTCCGTACTTAAGCTGCATTCACATTTGTATGACGTGACGTGTTGTGACGCAGGATGCAGAAATCAAACGACTCTGTTCAAAATTACGTCAATCAAAATGACTTATACGACCAATCAACTCCGTTAAAAACGTCACGAGACATCATGTCCGAAATGTGAATGTGGCTTTAGGTACTTTAATTTTAATAAGAAGATCAACTTACCAACAATCATAACATCATCGTCATCCTTATCACTCAAAGGCCAAGTCTTCCCACTAGACAAGGGCTTATTCGTTCCATCCTTTAGACAATTAAGGTATAAACCTTTCTCAGAAACTGTTTGTTTTTCTATTAATTTAACTAATTCTTCTTTTCTATCTTGGCTCATATCAACTCTTACTAAAGGAGCTAAACGCATATCGTTTTTGATCATGAAGTTTGATAGCATGCTAGTTTTGCTGATGCAGGAGTCAGTTGTCTGTTCTTTGTCCGTCTTCTGTTTTGGTACGAAAAAGTTGACAAATGCTTCTGCGGCTTTCTTCTTTTTTAACTCTTGTTCTTGTTTTTCGAGTTCTAATGCCTCTTGCTTTTTGCGTCTCTCCTCCTCTCTTGCCTCTTTCTCTTTCTTTCTTTGTTCTTCTTTTTCCTCCTTTTCCTTGCGTTTCATTTCTTCCTTCTCCTCACGAATTTCTGGAAATCGTTTGGTTTACTTTTAGTATATTAGATATTACTTATTTTAATAATAAAAAAATCATATTAATACAAAATTAATCTTAAAATATAAAATATGTTTTCCAGTATGTGTAGTATAAATTAAGTATACTCACTTTTCTCCAGTTCCTTCTGTTTTTCCTTTTCTTCTTTCTCCTTTCTTCTCTGTTCCTCTTTCTCTTCCTTCTCCTTTCTCTTAGCCTCTTCCTTTTCCTCACGTTCTTTCTTTTTTTGATCTTCCTTCTCTTGTTTCAACTTAGCCCTTTCTTCTTTTTCCTGTTGCCTCTTTTTCTCTCTTTCCTGTTTTTCTTTTTCCCGTTCCTCTTTCTTTTTGGCAGATTCCAATCTTTTTTGTAACTGTAATGGTAAAAAATAGTAATTACTGCAAGATATTTCAATGTATTTTATATCATTTCAATTTTAAAGTAACTACTTCAAATTATCTACATATTTCAATAAAAACACTTATAAAGTTCTGAAGAGAGAGAAGAAGAAGAGAAGAAAGAGAACAGTCAATGAATGTAACATTAAAAGTAACTACTGTCTATCTATTATGAATTCTGTTGAGAACAAAGAAGTATGTGAAGAATCACAAAAAAGGAAAATCAATGGTTATTAATTTCAATCAGTTTCAGTGGTAATTTTAGGACACAAAAGCTAAGTAAAAGCAATCAATGTTACTAATAAGTAACAGCAATTACAATGAGATAACAATAAGATTCTAATTATTTATAAATAATGCTTGGTACACATAATTCAACTTCAAATTCCACTATTCAAAACCACTCAAGTAGTTTAGTACAATTTCCACTTTGCACCTAACCTTTTATTTTAAAGAAGTGAAGTGACTATGACTAACCTGTTTAGGTGTTAAATTAGTTGATGTTGCGGATTCATTCAATGACACATCTCCTTGGCTGTTAGTAACCGAAGAACTCCTGCTAGTCTTTGAACCCTGTTTCGGTGTTGACCCATCAGAAGTCATAGACTCATTAAGCTTGCTCGGAGAACCTTTGGAGTTATTATTCTGTTCAGCTTTCGCTATATTCCGAGCACTCCGTTTGGGGGTAATTTGATTTATTGCTGGTACTTTTTTAGAAGGGGATTTTTTATTCGTTTTTTCAGAGTCCTCAGAAACCTGTTCAATGGTTGAAGTGTCATCAACCTCTGAATTTTGAGACAAATCGTTATCATGGCCTTCATTGTTTATAGTAGTATTGTTTTCCTTTTCTTCTGCAGTCTCAGACTCTGAAGTTTTGGTATCATCAGGATTAGTTGAATCTTCTAAAATGATAACCTCATTAGGTTTGGATTTCAACTCCTTTTTAGGTGAAGACTGTGTTGTGGTCTCATTTTTTGGGGAAGACTTTGATCTGGCCTGACCTTTAGCTGGAGATTTGCTTGACCTCTGGCTTTTTGGTGAAGATTTTAATGTTGCTTTACCACTTGGTGAAGAATTTGGAGATTTTGATGTTGATTGACCTTTTGGTGAAGATTTTGTTGCAGTCTGTTGTTTTGGTGAAGATGTAGTCATAACTTTGTTAGATGCTGTTTCTTCTAAGTCAGTTTGTTCATTCAACTCAGTAGGAGTTTCATCTACATCCATAATTTCAGAGTCGGCTTCTTTGTTGTCGGCACTATCAGTGCCGTCTTCAACCTCGACCGATGCATTACTTACAGTTTTCGACAACTTCTTGCCACCCTTCTTCTTTTTGGACTTCTGCAGCTTCTTTTTCCACGCTGTATCTACTAGTTTTACAAAAGGATTCATAGATTTATCCTCCTTCGGCGGATTATCACCATTTCTACTGTCATCATCACTGATTATCACGGCTTCTTCGACTAAGTCATTTTCCTTACTTATTTTACCTATTTTTGTAACTGTCTCCATGTCTGAAGCAGAAAGCTTGCGCTTCCTGGTTTGAGGAGCCGCTGGTTTAGGTGATACATCGCTAATAAGCTTGAACGGGAGTCTGGCTTGCTTCAGTTTTTTTTTCGAAGGTGTTATTTCTGTTTTCTCCGGCGACTTACTAGTCTTCATATTTGAAACACTAAATAACACTATTTATAACATTAATTAAATTATGTATTCACAAAACTCACTTACAAACAAATAATTACAATAAATAAAACTCTCAACAAAACACGATGAACTTTTGACAGATGTGAGAAAACGCGGGAGTTGAGAACACGATCAAAAACTTGAACTGGATAATGACAGCTACCAACTAAAAAAGTAATCTAATCAGAAATTACAATAATTAATATTAACGACCAGCACGTAACAAATACTCAATTTCTTCCTTGCGGATCATTAAAACCAAACAAAATAAAATAAAGTTCCAATAAATTTTACAACAACTTGATATATAATTTCGGTACACTGTGAAATATTATTATATTTTGAACAGTCCGCTGACTTTGACTTTGGCACGTTCTTTTGGAAACATTCCTATTTTTCGAAATAGAAACACTAAGCAGTTTAATATGTTATCTAAATTCTAAACACAAGTATTTTTAGCTTTGCCCGAGCATATTAAAAAGTTTGGTAGTAAGAACAATACAACCCAATTTGTATGACTACGACATCAATAAATGCATAAAATACTTAAAGTATATTTATTGCTGTCATTTTCTTATCTTGTTGCACCAACTTTGCCCTCACCTTGCCTTAAAAAGCAATCCGAAACCACTATGAAGAATTTATTTTACTTTTGATAGAGATGATCAAAATAAATTATTACCAAAGATTATGTAAGTGGGAATAGGTATGTCAGTGTCATTTACATAACAAAGCATAAATAGTTTTATTATCCTCAAGTCATTCCTTATTTACATTTAGGTAACCAATTACAAATGGTAAACAAACCTGGCTTCAAGTTTGATTTTAGGGATGTGTCGTCAGGGATTCAAAAACTACGTGAATTTTTGTTAGGTCGTAAATATGTACAGCATAATAGGTTTCCACCATTAATTGCTCCGAGGTCAATCCCTCCACCAGATGTTCCGCGTGGACCAGAGCAAACAAATAGATATTCTGACATGTATTATACTAACAGAGATGTTTTGGGATCTGTAAAGCCTCCAGTGGTAGCTCCAATAGCTGAAGGTTTACGGGGCGGTGATGGTAAACTAAAAATTGATCGGAAGAAAATGGATACACGGAAAGTAAGCAAAAATGCCAAAATTTAACTATTACTTAAGTATTTCTCTCAGCTTTCAGTGTTTTAAGGTGTAAGAAATAATGAGGTAAATGTTAAGGTTAACCTATGTTATACCAATTGCCGTAGAGAGATTTATATAAAACGAATGACTAAATTTTACTAGATCGTCACCTTCATGTGAAGGTAGATCTGAAAACGACGTAGCGCGTTAAGGTGCGTACTTTTAGGGCAAAGCTCCATTAGTACGTTGCGCTGCGGTACATCGTCACAGCGTCGTCGAGTTCTGACGAACGGCCTATTACGGCGACATTAACATTACTTTTTAAACATTGCAGTTATTATTTGAATGCCCACCGACGCCGGGATGTACATGGTGGTGGGACGCGCATTGTTACTATAAAGATATTTGTCCGACTCCTCCACCTTGTCCTCCGTTTGCTCCTCCTTCTCCATCTACAGCTTCACCTTGTGACTCGCAGCCATCACTGCCACCATCATCACCGCCGGTACCATGCAAGTCAGAGCAGAGTGAGGACCCATGTGCTCAAACTCCAGTTTGCAAGCTCCCACCGTGCGAGATAGAAAAGCCCCCGCCGCCACCACCCCCACCACCATTTTGTGACCCCTGTGACCCCAAACATAAGAAGTAATTTTGTAGGTATATCTTGCAAAATATGTTGAGGTTGAGATTGAAAACGGAAGAGAAATTTCATGACCTCCATGCTTTTTAGCTTAGTAACTAATCCAATATTTATGCATGATATGTTTGTTCTTCGGATCTATTATATTGTAGTTATTGTCTCATTGTTTAAAAAGTATTTTAATTATTTTACTAGTTTAAATAAAATTATGGAATTAATATTAACCACCGTTTCCTTAATTTATCATCCAACGATTTAAGAGTACCTACGCTTCGCCAAAAAAACTTAAGTATCTAGTTAACTCATCGTAACCCTCTATTTCGATCCCTTTTGATGATATAGCAGCTAGGGCTTTATGCAACTCAGCATTTACTCAATTTACAATTGCATTGTATAATGACATTAGATAGCCAGTCTAATCGCGATCACCAGCTAAATAACATCCTGTATTGACTAATTAATATAATTAAATTGTAATTAATAAATAAATATTTTTTTAATCAAAATCCCGACCGCCGAAACATAACT